TGGTCACGTGACAAAAGGCGCGTACAATTTAATTCTTTTTTATTGATAGGCGCGCATTTCTTTGCGCAGCTCTTCACCATTTTAGGCGCGTGATGGCGTGCACGCGCAATTGCGCACCTTAAAGGACAAGCCCTGCCATTACGCTCACCACACAGTAGCTAAGGTGGTGAAGGAGCAGGAGAGAATTTACCAGTTAGATAAAGGGGATGATTAGGAGGCCAGATTTGATAAGCCACCTTAGGTAAGATTTGATAAGCCACCTTAGGTAAGATTTGATAAGGCAACAGTGGGCAATTTTAGCCAGAACACCAGGGTACCAACCCTACTGTTTGGAAAGATGCCCAGGGATCTTTTATAACCTGGGACAGTCAGGACCTCGGTTTTATGTCTATCTGAAGGACGGCAACACTTTACGGTACAGTGTCCCCATCACTGCACTGAGACATTGGGATCCACACAGACCACAGTATGGGGTAACCTGTTGGCCACAGCAGCACGTCAGTAACATGGTCATCCTAAGAATGTACCCAATAAAGGACATCCTTGGGCTGTCCCTTGTTTATGTCCCTAGTATTACTGGTAAAATGTCAAATATTAATTATTTAGAAAAAGGGATTTACGTGGGCTTAATGCCCATAATATGTTCACACAATATGTCCTTAAAATGTTCCCGGAAAGTCCATAATATGTTCTCGGAATGTCCATAACTGGTCCTGAAAATGTCCTTAAAAGGTCCATAACTGGTCCTCTAGATGTCCTTAGGACGTCCCTAAAAGTCATCCTAAGGACGTAAAAAAACTTTCCATCAGGATGTCCAAAGGACGTCCTTTGAGGACAAGATCCGGACCAAAAGAGGACATCCTATGGACGACCTAAGGACAACTTGCTGTTTGCTGGGATGCCTCTAAAGTGTAATGTCCGGTACCCACTGTGTGATTCCAGCAATCTTATAAAATTATTACTGATCACACTGTGCGATATGGATCTGATAATCTTGGCTATGAATTTAGAAAAGTAATCAAAAAGTAAACAAATTTAATTAGTTACATTACTTTCATATAGTAATTGAAATAGTTACACTACTATTACATTTTAGAGTAACTTGTAAGACTGCAGACTGTACGACGACAACACCAACTCAATCATAAGATACGGCGCATAGGACAACGAAACAAAATGTAAACACCGACAGCATGCGTGAACACTGACTGCATGCTTAAACACCACAATGAATCGCGAAGTGAGTACCACACTTTTAAGCCACACTGGCACTTCTGATCCCCGTTGACAGAAAATGTGCCGTCCTCCTTCAGTATGCTAAGGTTATTGGTAA